CGTCAGTGCGAGTGCCTTTTAGAATAAAGCGTAGATTCGTCTCATAACACTCAAAACGGTATCCTGCTTTTAATAGCGGGACATAAAAAATGTAACTTCACAGTATACATTTACATACACGCATACACACGCGCTCCTTATGAATGCTTTTAAAGACTTAATAATCCTATACTTTTGTGAAAGCACCCTTATACTAACTGGAAATTCGGTGTGAATGGTAGCTTCACGTACAAAGTGTATTTGATTGTGTTGTGACTTGTAAATTACCAACACCATCCAGAGTATAAATAGGTAAAGAAATCAAAGCAGTTAGCGCCATCTATCGTGGAAAAAAGTAGATGGACGTGCGAAGACGACGACGACGACGGATCTGAAATAAAACCATCTCGCTCGCCATGTGAATATGCCCTGATCTCGTACACTAATCGTATTGAACTTGGTGGCCATCGATTCAGAACCCTCGATTCCTATAGTGAATGTATCAATAACTTTTTCTCATACATAACCATTCATAAGATATTTGAGTCGAAACACAAGTATTTACAAGAGATGCTTCGAGTATAGAGCCTCGGCGGACCGTACGGCGGGTTGCCTGTACTTGGCGCAAGACTCGACCGAGTCTCTTGATATTGTAAATTATCTTTATTTGATGGTGCCTTTTCAAACTTTAATGCTTTCTTCAGTTGGACTCGCTGGCTCGCCGACGATATACTTATCCACTAACTTACCCAGTCTTTGCAATTTGAACATTACACCCTATCCTAACCTTAACTAATCAAACCTAGCGTAAACTAATGCATAACTAAATACAATGTACTATAATAAGACATCGTTCGTACCTAATTTTATTCCATCTACAGTAAGTAACTTTAATATTCGGACACTATGAGATTTTTACTATATTACGTTATAACTTAATTTCTAACAAAAAAAAAATGATTAAGGATTATGATGACGTATACGCTTAATAAACAATAGCGTAAATTTTGTTTACATAACTTACAATAGTTGTTCAATAATACGGTTTAAATAAAACATTATCCAATTTTCACGTTACTTTAATATTCGGACACTTTACAATGTAGCGCTTTTTCCAATGTTCAAGCTGAGTTACGCCGAGTTAGAGGACAATGTTTGTTTACAAATCTAGTCAAGCGTTCTAGTTTAAGCCTTATTTCATTAGTTATTTGTCGATCATCGTGCAATACACTTGTACAATGCCTCGCAAAACGAACACGAGTTTTGATATACGGCAACTTGTAATATATCATAATGACAAAGGAAAATCGTACAGAGAAATTGCTGCTCTGCTTAACATAAGCAAGAGTACAGTGGGAGATATAGTCAAGCGGTTCAAATGCGAGGATTGTATAGATTTTATACCCCAAAAAGGCCAACTGAAGAAATTAGACGTTCGCGATGAGAGAAAATTGTTAAGAAAAATAAAGAAGGACCCTACGCTCAGTGCCCCAAAATTAGCATCAGAGCTCTTAAACGAGACTGGAAAAAACGTGCATCCTCAAACGATCCGCAGAGCCTCCAAAAAATAGCGGCTACAATGGAAGAGTGGCTAGAAAGAAACCGTACGTGAGTGAAAAGAATCGAAAGAAGAGACTGAATTATGCCAAAGAATTTATTTTGAAGGATGAAACATAGTGGAATGATGCCATTTTTTCTGACGAAAGTAAATTTAATATTTTTGGGTCAGATGGACGAAGGATGGTGTGGAAAAAAAAGGAAGAGTTTAAATTTAAAAATCTTCGGCCGAGCGTAAAGCACGGAGGTGGCAGTGTAATGGTCTGGGGCTGTATTTCGACTTTCGGACCGGGCGAATTAGTTTTCGTCGAAAAGATTATGGACAAAAATTTGCACATGACCATATTGAAAAAAAATGTACACAGAAGTGCTACAAAAATGGGGATTATAAATATGTTCAAGTTCTACCAGGATAATGACCCGAAACATAAGGCACGCATTCTGCAGGAATATTTGCTGTACAATTGCCTAAAAGTTTTGTAACCACCACCTCAATCACCTGACCTTAACCCCATTGAAAATGTGTGGGATGAACTAGAGCATTGAATTCGAAAAACACCAATATCTTCCAGAGAAATGTTAAAAAATCGTTTAAAAGACGAATGGAGTACTGAATATTTTAAAAAAATTATTAATAAAATGCAGCGGCGTTTGCAAGAAGTGATAGAGCAGGATGGCTACCCAACAAAATATTAAAACAAGTATTGTAACAAAAACCAGCCGAAAAATAAGTATGTGCATATGTAGTTCCTGAAAGTGTCCGAATATTAAAGTTACGTGGAAATCGGACACTGTTTTATTTAAACCGTATTATTCAACAACTGTTGCAAGTTATGTAAATAAAATTTACGCTATTGTTTTATAAGCGTATACGTCATCATGATCCTTAATAATTTTTTTTTTGTTAGAAATAAAGTTATAACGTAATATAGTAAAAATCTCATAATGTCCGAATATTAAAGTTACTCGCTGTATTTAAAAGTGGACAGAATTTGCAGTAAAAAGTCAGTTGTCTCCAATTGGTCTGTGCGCCAGTCCACCCCCCCCCCCCCCCCCTTTTTT